TAACACCAATCCACAACTGTTTCAAATGATAAAACAAGAGAGGAAACCAAATCGTATAACTCTTGATAAAATGAAGCATCATATGCATTCACCCTGCAGAGCAACTAGACATACTATTCTGTTATTAGTTTCTCAGCAAACCTTAATGTGTGTATTTAATGTGTGTTTGCAGGCTCCCACTCCTGCACCCCAGTGCTGCCTTCCCCAGCATGCAGCAGAAGGGGAGAGATGAAGATTTCTTCTAAGAGCATATGGGTTTATTTATAATGTGGTTCACAACTGTGACATTTGTAGACAGGGCTTGCTTGTGTACTGCATGCCCACTCTTTCACTCTGCAAGCAAGCAAAAACTTCTGATGTGTGCACTTGCGTTTTTAAGAAAAAACAGCAACAAAAAAGCACATGCAAGTAAGTGGAGCGTTACTTTATCAAACTGAGGAGAAACATTTTGCTAAGATAAAGAAAAATAACTTTTATGTGTTAGAAAAAACATACACTTCTTAACTGAAAGTATGCTTGTGTGCCTCACAGCAGGTAATTTCTGTGTGTAGAATAATACAGTATTTCTATCACAAAAATCACTGTTGATAGACAGTATGGGAATGCTTGGAGAGGAAGGGACGGTGATAGAAAGTAGTCCAAACACAAATACTGGGTTGTGTGCAGGAACAGAAAAATCTGTCCTTAAACAAACGTGTTGTGTGTTTGTTTTTTCTACTACGTGATGTTTTAACTTAAAAAATACCAGTAAACTACAGCCTCTTGGTCTGATCACATCCAAGTGATTAATAGCATCTCTTGGTACTGTTGAAACAGATAATTTTACAAATTGATGGTTTAAAAACTGTTTGATGTTCATGTTCCCCTTTCAACCTTTAACATTTACATCTGTGACAGATAGGATATGAAAAGGGAAGTACAGGTGTTTCAGATACGGATAGTTTTTTCAGATACGGATGGATTCTCAAAGCTGCTGGCATTTCTTTATGGTGACTGTTACACAGTGTTGGATTGCAGTGGTAGTACAAGCTTTATCATGTACCCCTGTCCTTCTCAGAGTGTGCTATTTTACTGTATAAATACAGGCATTTAATGAATCTGAAAATACAAGTGGAAAATAGAATGCTCTCAACTATGACCATCTTGCTCGTTTTTTTTCTACAAACTCTTATTTTTCTATTGGCTCCTTCTCCATGCTTACAGGAGAACCGGAGTCCTATCCTGGTCTCATCAGCCCATGTAGAAGAAGGTCGTGATTTACTGTCTCTATAAAGCTGGGGACTTTCTGTGGTATGTCTCCATGAAAATAAATGGAACTAAGGTCACATTCCACACAGCGGATTTTTACCACTTCCTGTGCAATATGGACTCTATTTCTAAATGAAGACAAAAGCCTTTGTTTTGCTGAGTCACACTCCAGAGAAATGGATAACTACAGAAAAGTTGGTGTGCTCTGTTTCTAGTTGCAGTTTTGACTTTGAAATTCTGCCCCGTATTTGCTTCTCTGTTTTTTTGCATGGTGTGGTTTTGGGGTTTTTGGGTTTTTTTTAATGCTAGAGTTGCAATATGATAGAGCATGCGTATTCCTGCACATATTTTCTCTGAGCTCTGTTACTGTAGTTCTCCCTTTTGGTTGCAGCAATGCTGTTGACTGTCACCAATCTGCGGGTTTGGTCTACTTGACAGAAAGCTGCTTTAGGAAAGAGGGAAGTGGAAGACAAATGACCAACATTCATGAGTCCAAAGCAGTTCATCTGCCAAGATGATGAGTAATAATAAATCGTTATTTTTGAGGTGCCTAGTTCGCTGTCTGACGGCTTTGAAATGCCGCTGACAACTCGTTGAAACATATTTGAGGGATGCAGGTTTGAAGTTTTGTTCGGGTGTTAGGTTAACAACGGGATATGATCCATTAAAAGGTCTGTATCATATAGATGTTGTAATATGCCTGGAGCCATCATGAGCAAACACCGTTCAAGTATTTTGCAATACTGCTAAGAATTAATTGTGATATTGCCTAGCATTAAAGCCAGTGAAAATTACAGTGGTTTAGAAAAGTGTGTAATGTGATATTGTGAACAGGGACAGAAATGAAAGGGGGAAAGGAAGGGCCCTGTGGGTGTCATCTCGCTTTTGCACCAAGTAGCAATGGGATAGGAGGACCTGCCACCTGTTAAAAGCTGCAGAGTCCAAACTTTGGTTTTAAAGAGCATAGCGGTGAGTGATGCTAGCAACAGGATCACAGGCTCATGTGAAATTGTGTGATGCTGTGATCATTTGAACCCTTCTTTGCACATTAATGGGGCTGCTGGTGGTGGGGAAAAAGTGTGCCTGCCGAATTGTGTGAAAAGAGAGGAGAAAGTGGAAGGAAACCCACGGTAAAAACTTAACCTAGGGTCTTATTTACACTTGGATGCTTAATCCAGTGTCTGGGTGGAGTAGTTTGCAAATCGTTCCCAGGGGAGATTTTAATGGGGTCGTGAAGGCTTTATGAATTTCTTTTCAAAACTTCTGGCACTTCACCTTTTTTTAGTGTCACTGCTTGCAGCTTTCTAATATTGTATATTTAGCTCTAGGAAAGTCGTACAGAATTTTTTCTTTTGAAAGAGTTTTTTCCCCCCATTAACTTTGTTAATGGGTTTTCATAAGAATTATTGCTAGCTTTCCACAATACTGATGAGCTGTTTAAAGCTCTTTGAATCGAAAGGCCAGGGGTATTTTGGACTGCAGTGAAGAACTGAGATCTGTGTTCCTATGGGAAGGTATTTTGAGCCTCTTCCTTATCTTTATATCACTGCTTCACACTTTATAGCATGTCCTTCACTGAAAAACTGCACTACAAGCTTTGGTACATGTTTAGCTGCAATTTAGGCATATGTATGTGTTTCAATCAAAAATTACTTTTTAAGTTGAGTTGCCTTAATTGTACAGGGAATGTTTGAGATCAAGTTGGTAGGAGACAACACTGACTAACTATGTATTCCTAGATTTAGAGAATGCTCTTGGAAGAACTTTGGTAAATGAAAAAAAACAAAAAATTCAGGAACTATCCTGAACACACACACAAAAAAGTCCCAACAGAAAGAAAAAGAGGAAATAAAATGTAAAATCCCTGAACTCAGGAACAGAAGGAAGAAGTGAGAAGCAGTCAGCAGCAGAAATGCTGGTTATTAAAATAGATTTGAATATCTGAGGAAGAAACAGGAGGATTTACCAGTACGCACTGGATATTTACGTGAATATGCAGTAATGCGTGCCTTCTCAGAACGATGATAAAACAGGGGTAAGAGAATCCTGGAAAAAATATATAAAAACTATATTTCCTTTTTAAATAGTACTGTCACAAATTAATTACCAGCAAAGAAAGAGGATATTGGATCTGGCAGTTTGTTCAGCTCATCTTGCTCGAAGTTGATAACAGAACTTCCATTGACTCTTTCACTGTGACGAGATTTTGGCTTAGTTGCATTGTTCAACCAGATCAAGTATTGAAGGATCTATCCAAGAAAGCCAAAAAATGAAGGAAATTAGTTTTGTAGAGCTTCTGAGAATAGTAGGGGGACAAATAAATCCAGCTAAAGGTGGGGACAAAAAAAAATATGTTGACTTTTCCGAGGAAACAAGTGGTTAAGTTGTAGTCCAGAGGCTATGTCCTCCTGTTCAGATTCAGGTGTGACTGAGGCTCATGGTGCCGTTTACAGGATTCTTATACCTCTTGCTATGGAAAGTATGTCTGAAATCCCCAGGCTGCCTTGAAGACCTTGATTGCATTTGTTACAGGCAGAACATGAGCAAAATTGAAACCAAACCTGAGTGTTGCCTGCGTAACATCCTGCCTATGGAGGCATGGCTGTGTTTTAGTCAAGCAGTTTGAAAGAAAAGGTAGTGGATGCCTGTGCAGGAAAAGGATGTTAGCAAAGAGGAAGATGATGCATGCATTCATCTTGCAGAAGAGAAAGATAATTACTATCAGCTATCGTATTTTTTTTCCATACTATTACTTGATTAACATAATCAAGTTACAGTCAGAGCAATTGCTCTCAATTAGTATTTAGTTTGCCAATTGCAGCTTCTATTTCAGCCTTGATAAAGGCAGGCAAGGTTAGTGAGCCTGAAAGTATGTCTGTTTTCTCTATGCTGTCTCTACTGAGCTGACAGAGAGCATGACTTCTCTCAACAGCACGTGCTGGTCTTGTAACCTTACGTGATCAAAGGCACAGCGACACAGTTATTTAAGATACCTTCATGGCTAAGAAGATTTAACACTTTTATTTCTTGGAATGGTTTTAAATCTTCCCTATAAAGACACTTCAGAGTAAATAAAAAAGAGCTTATTTAGTAACCCTGACAAAACTGGTACAAAAAAAGACATACCTGTGAACTGATTTTGAAAAATGCCTTAAAAAAACCCAAAACATGCACACCATAATTCTGAATATTTACTAGAATAAGCAAGTCCCTTCTATTTTTTTTTTAATATGAAAACTTCTAATGTGCCAGATGCTACTCACTGGCTTATTGGTTTTTCACACCGGTGAGGGAAGAACTCCCCATCCACTTCATCACCTCAGCCTCCGTCCTCAATTCCTCCAAAATTTCCAATGCAGCCTTACCCCCAGGAAGACTGACTGAAACATCTCCAGCAGGACATCTGTCTTCTTGCCTTTGTGGAGTGCTGTGCTTGACTGAGACATCTTAGGCTCATTAAACTACCCTGGGGGCTTGTCCAGAAGTCAGTCTCGCTTTCTTGGGCACCACTCTGGTTAGGTCTGAAGTGGAGCCCTGCAAGACTGAGCCACCTACACTTCCTCCAAGAGCAGTCTACCACTGGGTGGTTGTGGTTAAACTCTCCTTTCCAGGGTTATTTTGACACAGTCAGTGCTGAGCAACTGTGACTTGATGTTTGCAAAGCAGTCTGGGATTTTCACCTGCTCTTCTGTCTGCTCCTGGCAATATTGGAAGCACAGAGTGTGGCGCTTGACAGGTCTTGCCACCACGGCATGACGCTTGTTCTGCTGATCTTCATCTCTGCTGCCATCGCCTTGGCACCAAGAGATGGCGTTCCCATGTACTCCGAGTTGTCTCTTGCAAAGCAGAGTAATGAGAAGCTGCATCTTCTGCACTTAGGTTTCCATCAAGATACAGAGAGATTACGCTGTTCTTCATTCAGCCTGGCCTTGTGGCACTTTCAGTCGCAGGCCTTTTTTTTCTCCCCACGCACAACCTTCTTGGTTGATGGCTAGAAAGCTTAGTCAAATTTTGCTACTTGTTGCTACTACTTTGTGACTCAGTGTTAAAATGACTTTTCATGTTTCTGTCTCTGTGCTGAAGGTGCTGCTTTTAAATGCTAGCTTGTAGCAAATCTGCTTTCTGTTTCCAGTTAGTAAGCAGTCTCCAACTCCGGTCTTTCAACTTGACCATGGTGCTTTTGTCTCTGAGCTACGACTCCTCATGTGCCTCACTCCACCAGCCATACCTCTGATTGTACGTAGCCGGTGACCTCCAGAGGCGGTATTCTTTGTCTCACAGAATCACAGAATCCCAGAACGTCAGGGGTTGGAAGGGACCTCCAAAGCTCATCCAGTCCAATCCCCCTGCCGGAGCAGGAACACCCAGATGAGGTTACACAGGAAGGCGTCCAGGCGGGTTTGGAATGTCTGCAGAGAAGGAGACTCCACAACCTCTCTGGGCAGCCTGGTCCAGGGCTCTGTCACCCTCACTGAGAAGAAGTTTCTTCTCCAATTGAAGTGGAACCTCCTGTGTTCCAGTTTGTGTCCGTTACCCCTTGTCCTATCATTGTTTGTCACCGAGAAGAGCCTGGCTCCATCCTCGTGACACTCACCCTTTAAATATTTATAAGCATGAATGAGGTCTCCCCTCAGTTATTATTTGCCCTCATAGTATGTGATAGGCAGAAGCTTATGGGATTTAATCAGAATTTTAAAATAGCTCATTCGAGTGGGTTGGCACTTTCTGCAGAGGAAATGTTTGTTGTTCTGTAAATTGTTGCTTTTCCAACGTGAACCTGGAATCCAAATATTTTAGTCAAATAGGCCTGAAGTGAAATTCTGCAAAATCTGAGGGACTAAGATTTTTTGCTATTAAAATACCTACTCTTTAGTGAAGTGCCTATGCCAAGGTACTGCCAGTAGCACTTATCTGTCCTCAACAGCAAACAAAAAGGGGAGACGGAAGAGTAAAATAAAAAAAAAAATACATTGTTCAGTCAAGATAGATTAATAGTGTTACACAAAAGTCACACTTCCTTGTTGGTTATATCAGTTCTTTGTATTTTTGTCCGATCTAAAAATGTCTTTCCTTGCATTTTTTCCATCTGGGGAAATTGCAATGAGTGTTCCCTTTTAGTGGGAACAGTTGGTACCAAAAATGCTTCATTTTTGATATATAAAAATGTTCATTTCAGGGTGGTGTAAATACCGCTTTCAGTGGCTTGACTTAGTTTTAGCACTTTATGAGTTTTGTTTGTGGTTTTTGTTTTGTTTTGTTTTCCCTTCTTCATATTTTATGGAGTGATCTCTAAGGAAGCATGAAATTAAATGGAGTGTCTGAAAAACTTTGCATCGTGGCTGTTGTAACCAGTACCTTTAGGAAATGCAAGGTTTTGCTCTTCTCTTGTGTCTGCTGTCTGCGTGTAAAATGAAGCTGTGCTTACAGGTGTCTGCAGGATGAGTCCTGGATGGTTTACCAGATGTTTCTGCTTAAATAGGAGCTGCATTTGTGAAAGGAGCAGTGCTCTCGAATGCTGCTGTGCTGACTGGCTGCTTTTATTGCACTCAGCTTCATAATTTTCATAGTTTGTTGGGAAAATGAACTGCATAGCCTCCAGACTGCTTTCTTAGACTTTCAGTTGCTGTTGTACAAGGATGTTCTGTTTCCATCAATAAGTGAAACAGAATCTGAGCTTTGCATGAGTTGGTGATGGATTTGTGTATGGACATCAGCATTACCTGAATTTAGGAAAGAAAAATGCAGGTAGGTTGAATGGTGTAGCCAAAGGCTCTTGGAGAACGTCAGCAATGCAGCACGATGTCGTGCTGGAACTGGGCTCCCTACATCTGAACTGCCACCCAAGCTGGCTGCTGTCTCACTTGTGATGTGGTACATCACAGCACAACTCCAGAAAAGTGGCTTGGATCCTGTTGCACAAAAGGACAGTATCTCTGGGTTGCTACTCTGTAGTTTCTGGTGTGTCTGGGTGGCAGAGAAATAAGCCATGCCCATGTGAAAGAGTGAAGCTTTGATTCTTCTGTATGAAGCCAGACTTTGCATCTCAGACGCTTGCCAGGCTTTTGTGCCTCTCTCACTGCCAGGGCTATGTCTTGTTTCTGAGTGACATCTGAAAGTCTTTTCACTGCGTGTCCTACTTCTGCTTCAGGGGAGTATGATGGAAGAACTGGCAGGGAGGCGGAGAAGTTCAGGGAAATGAGCATAATGGGAATATGGGATATGGAGCATGCAGTGTGGGAGCATGGGTGTAGAACATAGAGACCACAGAGAGAGAGACCAGAGCTCTGAGTTAGAAGGCCTTTGTCCTGCTTAGATAGCAATGTCTCATCTAGAGCACAAAGTTGTGTTGACCTCCAAGATGCATCAGTTTCACTTACTGAGCCTACAAATCGTGAGTCATCAATTGTATTAGGATTAGAAATCTTAGGCAAGATTTGAAGATGTTCTCCACATGCGTGATTTCATGTACGATTCTGCACTTTCTCAGGATGCTTTTTAATAAAGGAGGAAGTAAACCAATACTGCACAGATGTAGTAAACAAGTGTTCATAATAAATGGTTATGTGTAATCTGACCTAAATTTCAAATATTTTTACAAATGCACACTAATTGTTCATTAGCAGCTGAAGCTTAAACTGGATTGTGCTTGGAAAAAACTCTCAATGAGCTTTATAGCGTGTATCTTCTCTTTAGAAATGTCTGATGGTTGTGATCCTTTGTGGGGAGTGCTTTCACTGCAGGGCACGTAAAACATCTCAGAAACTAGAGAAGTAGTTGTAACTTCTGCTCTGAACAAAGGACAAAACTGCCAGGTAGGAGGCTTTTCATGGGGCCAGCCATTAAACTGGAGCTTTAATACTCTGAATGCTGCAGAGAGAATATTTTACTAGAATGCTTGTAGTGGAATGGAAACCTTCTGCTGAGTTCTCATCTTACTTCTTTTAATATAAATATAGGAACCCTGGTAATTCAGGCACTTCTAATTAGACCTCGCATCTCTGGCTCTATTTTTGGGAGGCAGTTGGCTAGCTGACAGTAAGTGGGCATAATTATTATGCCAGCTCACTGTTGGCAGTGATTTTGATGTCAGCAGTTTCACTTAGCGAGGCTACAAATCCTGATTCATCAATTGTATTAGGATTAGAAATCTTGGGCGAGATTTGAAGATCTCCAGATGACTTGTGTCTTCCTTTAAGTGCTTTAAGAATGATGAAGGGAGTGTTCCAGGTTCTTCATATGCACAGGCTTAATAGAGGATTACACGTTCTGGCTAGAGGAAAAAAAAAATCTGGTTCATTTTCTTTTCTAGTTGATTGTTGTTTTATGGATCATTTGCATGTCCTTGTGTCCAGACAGCAGCTGGGGTTTAATGCCTGGATCGTGTGGCTGATGTGACATTTCACGTGCAGCACAGGAGCAGAGGAATGCTCCAGCACTCTCTATTTGTGAGCACAGGAGCAGACGCCTCTGGTTTCTCAACCTCTTCAGACATTCCTTGAGCCATGGGAAGAGTTGTGCTGTTCTGCAATTGAGATGGAAAGCTGCCCACCGAGGTTTGCTGTTTAGGCTGTTGGAAACCACAGTAATGGAGCATTGGGAATGATGCCTGCGAAGTGGAGCGTCCTGGCCATTTTGGGGAACCTCAGTTTCCCTGACTAGCCTGCTTTTGCACAAAGGGCTCCAGACCCTTCTGCGAACCATTTCTCTGACAGCAGCGAAGTCCTGATGCCTGTACATGCAAAGGCTCAGGGAGAACAGTTAAGCCTGGCTGATTTGCGCAAGCTTCAGGGATGCTTTAGGATTGCACGGTTTTAAAGGAGTATACATATGGAATGTGTGTGTCTGTGTGGGTGTGTATATACAGACATTGTGGGTGAATACACACACACACACAGACATAACACTTTGTATATGGTATTCTTAAAAATGTAAGGTTCACAGGTGTTCAGTGAATTTCCCAAGGCTGGCTAGGGGTGTGTGTGATGTTTGAGAACTGCATGTTGTCACAGTTTTATAATTTTGAATTGAAGCATCTGGAATCTGTTTCTCATAAGAAGACTATCCCTGAAGTGATTCCTCCCTAATCATGGTACATCGCATCCTTTCTCCTTTTTCCTTTCCTACGAACCAGTATGTCTCATTTGTTTCAGTCTCCTCTTTGCATGGATTCCAAGGAGAACAGAAGTGTTGGGACTCTGGAGGGATTTGAGGTTGGCAGTGGGACATATTTTCAGGATATAAACTAGCAGTTTACAAGGAGAAGTTCAGGTTCGTGGCAGCCAAATTAAAGCAAGTCAGGACTCTGCCCAATAAACCTAAAACTCTTCTGCAAAGTTTTCTATTTTAATTTTCATGGTGTTATTTTTCCTAATCAATGGGGAATAGCAAGGGGAAATCCTTTGATAAACTGGGTTCTGCCAATCCCAAAACATGGAGCATGCTAGAAGTAATTTTTTTTCATGTTTTGTTGTAGGAACTGATACTATTGGGTTGCCCAAAAAAGTAATTATGATTTTTTTCTGGGTTAATGAAAGGCTATTTTTTAGTTGAGAAACAAAAATTGTATTAAACAGTACAGTGTCCATTTTGTTCAATTACCTTTTGCCATCTTTTAGGCAACTTCATGATTCCACGCTCAAATAAATTCCTATATTTTTTGGCAAAAAACAATTTCAAGAACAATTTGATGTCCTCTTGAGCAGTGAAGGTTTTACCATTCAAGGCATTTTGTAAAGAACAAAACAAATGGTGGCCTGATGGTGCCGGGTCTGATGAATAGGATGGATATGGTAACACATCCCATCCAAGCTGCAACCACTTCCCTACCTGGAAGTGTACAAGGGCTTTGAGCAACCTGGTCTGGTGGAGGTGTCCCTGTTCATGGCAGGGGATTGGACTGGATGATCTTTAAGGTCCCTTCCAATCCAAACCATTCTATGATTCTAGGATTTTTGTACCAACCAAACTTATATGTTTTTTAGCATTATAATGGAGAAACACAACACCTTTGTGATTCACCAATTCTGGATGCTTCTGTTCGATGGCATCATTCAGTTTGTCCAGTCGACGACAGTACACAGCCGAATTAATGGTTTGGTTCCTTGGAAGCAATGAAAAACACACAGTACCTTTGAAACCCCACCAGACTGACAGCACAACCTTCCTTTGGTGAAGATCTGCTTTGGAAGTGCTTTGTGCTGGTTCATCCTGTTTGCTCCACCATCTTTTTTTGTTTG